GGAAAAGCGAATGAGTACATTTTCAGTAATACTTTTTTTCTCTACGCAGAGGCCCTATGATGTATCCGCCGAGCGGGTCTCCTTATGGCCCCCGGGGTCCTCAGAACATGCCTATGTATCCCCTCCACCCGGGACTCGGCCCCCGGCCCCAGTATCCGCCCGGGTACTACACGCATCTTCAGTACAGGGGGACTATGCGCGGTCCCCCGCCGGGACACGGACCTCCAGGACCCCCGCAGTCTCCTTTGCAACACGGGAATCACACCGGACACGGACCACCACCCGGACACGGTCCACCACCCGGACACGGACCACCACCCGGACTAGGACCACCACCTGGGCACGGTCCGCCTCCCCCTCTAGGTCACGGGCCCCCGGGGCAGCCGCAGCAGAACCCCCCGCGCCACCTGCAGCCCGGCCCCCCGCCCTCCCCGATGCAGCTGCGCCCGCACCGCCCGCCGCCGCCCGCGCTCCGCCCCACCCCGCCCCCCGCGACCCCTCCCAACCCGGCCCCCACCCCGCCGGCGTCCTCCCCCGCGGCGACCCCCTCCCCCTCCGCCGAGCCGTTCAAGATAAAAGCGGAAGTGAAGACCGAGCCCGAGTACCGCTCGCCGGCCGCGTCTCCCCCCGCGCGGCCCCCGTCCCCGGAGCCGCCGCGGAACCACCCGAAGATAAAGCACACCGAGAACAAGGACCGGCGGCCGCGGTACCCGCTGGGCCCGTACGCGCCGCAGTACGGTCCGTACGGGCCGTACCTGCAGCAGTACCCGCCCGCCGCGGGCGAGGAGCCGCCCTACGCGCGCGCCTACCGCCCCCCCTACCCGCCCCACCCGCCACACCCGCGCCCGCCCTACGAACCGAACAGGTCCACCGCGCCCGCCGACTCGACCAGACTTCTGGCGAGGCCGCCCGGACCTTACTCTGAAAATGCGAGGGCCCCCAGACCTTATTCTGATAATGCGAGACCACCGGGACCTTACTCTGAAAATGCGAGACCCTCCGGTCCTTACTCTGAGAGTCCGAGACAACCGGGGCCTTACTCTGAAAATGCGAGACCACCAGGACCTTACTCTGAAAATGCGAGACCCCCCGGTCCTTACTCTGAGAGTCCGAGACAGCCGGGGCCTTACTCTGAAAATGCGAGACTTCCGGGACCTTTTTCGGAATCCTTGCGACCGCCGGGTCCGTACTCCGAATCTGTGAGACCGTCGGGACCTTACGCCGAAGTAGCGAGATTGCCGGGACCCTACGCCGACACGATAAGGCCACCCAGTGTTTACGCTGAACCGACCAGACAGCAGGGAGCATACTCAAAATTAGCGAGACCTCCGGGCCCGTACTCGGATACGCCGCGACCGCCGGGCCCGTATTCAGATTCGCCGAGACCGCCGGGCCCGTACTCGGATACGCCGCGACCGCCGGGCCCGTATTCAGATTCGCCTAGGCCGCCGGGCCCGTATTCGGATTCACCGAGACCGCCGGGCCCGTATTCGGATTCGCCGAGACCGCCGGGCCCGTATTCGGATTCGCCGAGACCGCCGGGCCCGTATTCGGATTCGCCGAGACCGCCGGGCCCGTATTCGGATTCGCCGAGACCGCCGGGCTCGTACTCGGATACACCGAGACCGCCGGGACCGTACTCAGATTCGCCGAAACCGCCGGGTCCATACTCGGATACGCCGAGACCGCCGGGACCGTACTCAGATTCGCCGAAACCGCCGGGTCCATACTCGGATACGCCGAGACCGCCGGGCCCGTATTCGGATACGCCGAGACCGCCGGGACCGTACTCGGAACGGCAGAGACTCCCGGCGCCTTACGTGGAATCGGCTAGGCCCCCTGCACCTTATGCCGAAACTATGAGGCCGCGAGCGCCCTACGTAGAAACTGCGAGACCGTCAGCTCCTTACACGGACTCTGTTCGTCCGTTGCATCCGACGTTCCGGGAACGACTCGAACCGAACTCATCACCGAGACCGCTGGAAGACAGGCCCGCGAGCCGTGAGACCCCGCATTCAGAATCGTCCGACGACCGAATCGTTAAATCTTCGCCGCCGCCAGCGCCCGAACCGTACGTCGAGCCGGCACCGGAACCGGTCGCTCTGTCTATAAAACCGGAACCGGTCGATGGTGAACCCGTTCGCGAAGAAGGCAGCGTTTTCGGAGGTCTCGTCAGTTACTTTTCGAGTCAACATGAAGACGACTTGGACGCGTAAACTTCCAGGAATTATTTTCCGATTTTCATGTGAGAAATATTGACTGTAAAACGATTAGTGACGGTGAATCGTCGGTAGTCTAGCTTTACGTTGTAGTGTGAAGTGTTTGGGCTCTCCAGGATTCCCCCCAACTCCTGTACATACTCGCTATAGATAATTTTATTTATACGACCCGGCCAGGCGACCGGTGTTATGTAGAATAAACGCTTTGTATCATATAAAAATAGTATTTAAGTTAGAGTGCTAACGAAGAGAGTAATATGAGTCTTTTTGGTCTCGAATAAATGATGTATTATTATTTTGGTTCTGTTAAGTGAGATTTATTTATACAGACGATAAGTACTTACTGTATACTCTAGATACGAATTTTATTAAAGATGACAACTATGATTTCTTTTTGCAAAATAAAAAATGTCTTCTAGATTTGTGGTTTGTTCTTGTGATTAGTAATTACCCTCCACGTTGCCCGTTGACATGAAATAGTCAAGTGATGATGGAATAAAAACATTTGAGGAAACGCCTAAAGCCGAAAATGTATATAATTTTTCCCTTTGTGACCGATAGCCGGCGTGTTGCGAAGAATAAGCGTCGATTCATGCTGGCGCAGAGTTAATAAAAGAACCATAAAAAATGAATATAGCAAATTGTACGTCCTAGCTGAACAGTGGAGCGTGCTAAATTGCACCACTGTTTTTGAAGATTTTTTTTTTACATAAAATGTTGATAAAAGGCTTAAGGCGCCTATTACACTACCCAATCTATCGGGCCCGATCCATCGGGTACACTGTAAATTGGGTAGTCTAATCGCAGTTAGAGAGTTAGGGTCCCGATATCGGGTGAACGTGGGCGCCCGATCACCCGATGAGAGTTAGGGCCGATTTATCGGGTAATATGATCGCTGTTAGGGTGTTAGAGCGCTCAGTCAGTTGTTGCGCAGCGTGCGTGTGAGACGTCAGTGAACGACAACGAAATTTGCGAACAGACAAAAATGTCTTCTCAAAAGGAAAAGAAATAATATTAAGTGTAATTTAATATTATTACTTTTTCTTATATATATATGCAATATGATATAATGTTTTAAACATTTCTAGATAGCCTTTGCATGTGTCTGGTACAATTATAAATTTTATATAAATTACAATAATAAAAACTAATGCTATAATAAACTTTATATTATTGTTGTGCCCGATAGGGTCCATAGTGAGACTAACTTAATTATGTAATATTATTTTAAATTACCTATGGAAACAATAAACTTATTGACTATTTATACTTTAAGTCATGATATGCATTTCCCGTTGCTAAAAATTTTAAGATTACAGCACAGCTAACCGCTGTTTTGCGCTATATAAGGTATGACTAAGTTTAATATATGATCAAATTGTGCAGAACTCATTCTGTAGTAGTCCAAACTGCATAGTTGGTCATTTAGAAGCAAATATTTTTCACCCAACATTTTGTTTTATTATTTACGCCCGCAGTTAAAGTATGGGCTATGCCAATTTTTTGGTACTTTGTGAGCGAAGGAGCCGTCCTTTCAACGCCACGTTTGCATGCCAACTGAGTTAGGGAGGCGATCTAGTGCAGTGTAATCACAACGACGCCAACCGCCCTAAATCGCGGCCGATATATCGTGCCCGATAGATTGGGTAGTGTAATAGGCGCCTAAGTGAAAGAATATACGCGGATTTGCTTTGTGTAGAATAAGAGGCTTGGCCTCTACGCTAGCATGAGTGGATAAGCGCCGCGGCCCGCGATCGTTGTCGTTAAGCAACTTTCGCAAGGGTCGGTCACGGGATGGGTGACCAAAAAAATATTATCTCTAGCTACTCCGTGCTTCAGAACGCACGTTAAGCCGTTGGTTCCGGCTGCATTTGTAGTCGTTAATACCCTCCAATCCGCATTGGGCCAGCGTGGAGGATCATGGCCCGTCCTCCTTAACCATACATAAGGAAGGCCTGAGCCCGTGCAGTGGGGACGTAAAAGAGCTGATGATGATGAAACATTTATTTGTGTTTAAATCTAAATTTCAATAAAAATCTAATATATACAGAGTATTTTTAATAACGAAGGTTTTTAATTATTTAGAAATACTAATTGAGTGAAATGAATTTCTTAACAAACGTCACCGTACCCATGCTATGTGGAGCAGAATAGTTGTGTCCTCTTTTTCCACACATTTTGTACGGTCCCGACCGCACATTGAACTGTAATAAGTAGGTAACGCGCGTCAGCAATATTCGCTTGCTACTTAATTCATGATTATTTTAAATTATGTTTCGCAATGTCTCTAATATTGAAGTAAAAGTTGGTGTTTTTCCGATCGCCACACCAATCGCGCGTATCCACTCATACCATTTTACCATACTTTCTACTACCATTATTTCACCATAGTTATAATTTCCTTTTCTATAATTTTATTAGTATAAAGAGACTCAGTGTTAAAATAAGTTTAAGAACTTGTTACTACAGTGACAAAATAAAATATATACTTTTTATTATTATTGCCTACAAGTGACTTTTATTATAACTATCTCAACAATAAGGTGTATTCCCCGTACACATTTGATTTTCATAAAATTGTCTTCTACAAGAAAATAAGAGTAATCTCTACTTATGAATAAAAACTTTTCTGTAGAAACATCTTTCACTAAACCAAGAAATGCTATTTTAACCTCGTGTTGGTTCACCGTGATAATAAATTTTTCGGCAAGATTGATGAAAATTCTATATATACGGTAATACTAAAAGGAAAAGCAGGAGTTGCCATATGAATTAAAAGATAGTTAGAATAGCAAAATGACTTTATTATTTTCTAGGTCTACCCGCAACTTTTTTATTGCCAGCCGCTTGTTTATTTTTCCCGCCAAATGCCAACGGTTGTTCTGCAACAGAAAAAAAAGAAAATAATCACCTCTCACCGTTTAAAACTACCTTGGACTCACAACAGACATTTACAAATAATCAGCTATCAGCCGTTCTCAAGTTTTAGCAAGACAAACGAACAGCAACTGATTTTTATATATACATATAGATTTTGCAACTCACCAGGGGGCGTTATCTTGAGCGATATGTCGTAACTCTTGCACTTGGGCCTTTTGGCGGCGGGCTCCAGTTTCTCGGGAGTTTCCGTGGGAGTTACAGTCTCCTGTGTCGCCGCCCACCCATCCTGATAATAACATATCGATGAATATGCTAGTGAAATACGATTCATCAAAGTTGTGTTGTAGACAGTAAATTAATAGATTTTATATTATTGCTTTTATTAGACTCAATATCATTCGCATGTTAAATGTTTATAGGTTGTGTAATACTGTAACATTATTTCTACATAGTGGTAATATAGTATAACCTCACCTTAAGAGAATGTCTTGATTACCCTAGTATAATTTAGCTTTTTTTGGCAGCATTTAGCATTTAGAAACTGTTTTTTTGGCTAATGAATAACCTATTTAGGTTCCTCATTCATGTGTAATATCAACAGCTGTTTGTTTCTTTTAATAAATAAATATATCCGACTTACCTCGGGGTCTTCTATTTCCGGTGCGATTGGAAGGAACGACAGCACGTTCTCGTCTTCACCTTCCTCGTCGGAGCTGCAGAATGCCGCTACAGGCTCGCATGTTGTTACGTCCACCTGAAATTTAAATGTAATAAATATGTGGTAAAGTTTAATACTAACAGGGAGAACTTTGTAATTAAACCTTTTATATATGTTTACTTTGTTTGTATATTTTTTTATATAAACCCTGTTCTCTATTCGCCTACTCAAGTATAATAAGGCATTTAGTATAAACGAAACGAACAGTTGCTCCTGATTGGTCATCGAATATAGAATGTGCATATTTTTGAAATATATTTTTCTTTTTATGATACTAAATTATGTCGTTTTAAATAACTTTAAATATTATCCTGCACCAAAAAGCGTGAAGCACTCAGTGTATCAAAATGATTTCTTTCACTTTACCCCTGATTTACGAGCTTAACATTTAACTTTTTACAAAAGCGCTAAAAAAAAGTAAAAATAAGTTACAAAAATGTATATTGATTTCTTATATTTTCCGTTTAAAAGTCGATTAATTTATAAAAAAAAAGTTTAAAAAAGTACTTTTTTTAAATTAGATTTTCTTTTTTTTTTCTTTTTAGCGCTTGTAAGTATGCTCATGGTAAATCAGGGTTTGTTTGTGTAATAAGCAGTGGTCGAAATTAGGTAGAGTTATTCATGTACTTACACTGATTTCATACAGCGAAAGAATAAAGTGGATATGCCTCAAATCCCGAGATTAATTTTAAAGAGCAGAAAAAAATCCCGTGATTTTTTAAATAAAAAGTTATTTACTTTTACACAATTTAAACTACTGCACGCACGACGTTGCCAAACTTACATCAATGAAATAAAGAAAGAAGAAATAAAGAAATCCCGGGAAGGTCCACATTAATATCAACATTTCGATGCAAGTACATAAATAACTCTACCTAATTCCGACCTCTGGTAATAAGTGTGCTAACAATAAACTCTTCTTCTTTTTTAAATATATTCTGGCATTACTCACGTCGACCTCCTCGTCGTGGTGGGTGTCGCCGGCCTGGTCCACGGAGCGATCCTCGTCCTCCACATCGAACTCGCTCTCGCGCTCCTCGTACTCGACGTTCTCGTCCAACTCCTTGAAGTCGGGCGCGAACGCGGACCAGTTCTCCACCTGGTTCTGTGCCCATATAGACACCACGCCTGTGTCGATCAAGTAATCACATATATATAAATAATTCACTATTTCCCTTGGTCACGCCATACGTGAACGGATGGACCGATTTGGCAAATTCTATTTTGATATAAGAAAATTGAGTGAAAAATTTGAAAATTTAAGAATATTTAAACACCATATAAAATTATTTCTAATATAACTTTAGTGAATCTGAGTTGGTTATTAAGTTTTGAAAATTAATTTACTTTTATACATGAAAATAAAAACGTTAAGAAAGTACCGTAGCGACATCTAGTTTTTCGGGATACTTCCTCATTAATTTAAGCAATATTATAAATATAATTAAGCATAAATGTGTGATTATCGGTGATTGTATATTAAACATTACCAGTCCGGGTATACGATCCTGTGTCAGCATTAGCAGAGCATTTTGCTTTGTAACAATAATCTCACCTATATTAGAAATATGTGTATTTAAAATGGTAAATGTGTGTTCGTTACGAGAAAGCAATAAAGATGTTTTAATTTTTTTTTAAATATTATATCAGCATCTAAATAAACCTCCGATTTTGTGTAAACAAACATGTTGTTACATTTTGAAAAAGATTTCACAAAAAGTTGTTGTTTTTATTGGGCTCATCAAGATTCTGTTTCATTGGGGTAGGTAAAAAATTTTACATAAATATTCAATAGTGTTCGTGAATATTGGGTATTTCCCTGCAGGTCCAAATAGTCCATACAAATAGAACATCTGTCTCACCAGCACTTATGCTAGCTATGATAGGCCGTATAGGATGCCACACTACATCCAATAGCAGTTCCCCTTTGGTTCCATGGAGGATCTTCACTATATTTCCAATAGATTTCTCCCAAATGTACAGCGCATGTTGCCGAGCGGATCCCGCGCATATATACTCGCCGTCACCAGAGAAGCAACACTTCTTCCATGTTGTTCTAGAATCGTAAAGCAGGTTAAATAATATACATAAATTATGTTTTTGTAACATTGATGTCCAGACTTATTTAAATACTCTGCTAGAGACAAAAACTGCTATAACTGTATACATATATAGACATGAAATTTTCAATAGAACAACTCTCTAATGGCCTTCATCATATTTACTTAAATAGTTTTACTTGAGGTTTGAATTATATAAGAGTTTTATTAAATGAAGAAAACAAAATATGCATAAGGAAAAAACAAATATAATAATTCATACTTACTTATTGACTAGATCCTGTAATTTTTGTATGGGTTCTGGTTCACCATTTATTCCACATTTCAGTACCGTTTTTGTGTCATACACTCTTATTACTCTATCTGATGTATTTACTAGGAAACAGCTGCAATAAATACATACTATAAATGCTGTATCAAAATATTGATTTATAAATGATGAGTATTCTACATTATTTTCAATAGACCATTTAAACTATTGGTTATTAACTGGTGGTCCGTGGATGTCTAATGGTCTATGGCAGCATTCGAAGTGGTCCATAGAGTGGATATTTTAGCACAGATACAAAGATAAAACAACTTCAAGTCAAAATATGTTTATTCAAATAGACTTATTTTAAGTATCTTTGAATCGTCCAACATTTTTGCGACTCATTCAGAATGTCTCTTGGCTGATAAAAAGAACAAACAAGAAATTCATAACTCTTTATTAATCCAAGCCCAAGAGAGAAGTCTAAGCCTGATAAAAAATTTGTAAAGGACTGAAAAGTAATTTAAATTAATAATTATTATAATGATTATCAACATCCACTTACTCTCCTCGTCTAGCGAATTCTATGCTCTTTATACTGGTAGTACTGGATGTACCAACAGTTATTTTAAAACTTGCTTTGATTCCTAATTTTTGTGTGTCTAAAATAAGTATTTTTCCTTTTGCATTTCCTGTATAGACATGATCGCCTCTTCTGTCAAACGAAGCTATAACATTTATATCACCCTGAAAACAATGGGAGTCTGTTTGAGATTTTTTTTTAATAAATAGAAATAGCAACAGCATCTTTTTTTTAATCATTTTACTTTCAAGTTTGTTTTTTTTTAAACGCATTTGTACAAAAGCTGGATTTTCATAATTTATCATAATCTTCTCATTTGATACACTTATTCGCTGGATGCAATGTACTAGGTGGGGGTACCACAATCTATTACAGCGCAAACATTAACAAGTGCTTGTATATGCACAAGTAGTAGCTCAGTGATTAGAGAAGTCAACTGGATTGAGAAAGGTCATGGGTTCGAGTCCCATCTCAGAGTGCCAGGGACAAATTGTTTTCTTCAGCATTTTTCATTATCAATGTGCATTGTTTATTTTTTGAAGTGAAAAATGGATTATTTGTTATCAATTCATGTAATCTGTTCAGCGTTTTGAAAACTTATAGTCAAAAACAATTAGTTAAAATGTGGCATTTGTGAATTATGTTTTTACCAGATAAATAAAATTATTGCAAAATTGAATTTTTTAACTGTTAACTATTTCTACACAAAAAATTCTAATTTTTCAATGTGATAACTGAATATTTTTACAATAGCTTTAAATAATAGACAGAAAAAACTAAATATAGGAAAAAAGTTGCATGTTTCGATTGCATGTAATTAGGACATCCATAAAATACTGCAATATTTTTTATTCAACTTCAAAGCTTAAATAAAAGAGAGGCTTAAATAAAACAAAGAACTGTAATTTTAAGTTAGAAATGTATAGTTTAGTTGAGTTTAGAGAATGGTACATCAAAATTCTACATGACACTATTGCATCTCTAAAGCTGTATACAACATTTTAGCTTACATGTTTTGCAACAGCTGTTTTCAAAAACAGGTAATGAACAATCAATTTTTTTAAATGTTTAGAATACTCAACTCAAATAGGATCACTTGGTCGCCTATCTGTCCATGTGTCTGTTGTTTTGTTCATTGGTCCAACTATTGTCACTAGAACTTTATATTACAAAATACAGAAAAGTATTGTACCCATATTATAGGAAAACCTACACATTCAATTTGCTTTTTCTGTTTTTCATATTAAAGAAAATTACTTACATCATCGTCAATCGGTAATATTTTATGTTCACCCTCTGTATCTACAAGTAGTGCAGCATGTCTCATTGGGCATACAAGGAAACGTCTGTTATTTCTTGGATCAAACTGAACCCTCAGAATTGGTGTTGGGAATCTGTATCTCTGTTCACATTCACCTGATAGGACATCCCATATACATACATTATGATCGGTTGAAGCTGACAAGAGCTAAAAAAAAACAAATAAAATAAATATTTACAAAATAACAAAACAATTGTACCTTGTATTTGTTATGAAGTAAGTCAATTCTCTTTTACGATAAAAGATGGACACTAATAGCAACCAGGTGGAGAGGTCCCACAGGGTAAAGAAATGTAGGAAGACCGTTTAAGAGATGGAAGAATGACATAGTGGAAACAGCAGGGAAAGACTGGCTGCTCAAGGCAAAGGACAGAGGAAAATGGGACAAGCTGGAGGAGGCCTTCATCCTAAGAGGGGTCCAACTTAAAGATTGACTTGACTAACACTACTAACAACTAGTCTGTAGATATACTACTAACAATCTTACTAACAACATTTGGATTGTAAAGAAAATAAGATACCAAGTTGGAAATAAACGGCTTTATTATTATTATTATTATTATTATTAAGTCAATTCTCAATAAGACGTTTTCTCTTCTGTCATCTTGAATTTGCTATATAAGTTAAGCACTCATGTTTTTACTGTTTATGTTAGGATTTTTTCATTAACATTCTTATAAATGATTATACCTTACCTTTTTACAATTCCTAGACCAACTAAGACTACAAACAGGGTACACATGAGCCGATATTGATTTAGCAATTCCTCTGGTTAGAAAATCCCATATAAATATTCTACCATCATTGCATCCCACCGCCAAGAGTGTACCTCTGCGATTGAAAGCGCACGTTGCTGCCAGTGATATAGAATCGAGGGTGCCATCAAATTCCTGTAAATGTTCCTTCTGATATAAAATTGAGATACTGGGTAACTCAGGTTAAGATGAAGAGGTTTATAGTATCTAAAATTATGCTTCAGTCGAAATTACTTAACACTAAACACTTTCGTCAAACTTAAAAGTAAATAACCGGTAAAAACTTTGTAACACTCACCTCAGGATAGTTCTGGCCAAACGATTCTGAAAAAATATAATGGAACATTAATAATAATCCTAAGCGTAGATAATAACAAGCACAGCATAAATATGATAAAAGAATAAAATTACCCAATAATTCTAAATTCATTTTAAGCTTCACTTAATTCAGTAATCTGAAATCAATCAACAAAACCCTGAATCAAAACAAATACAAAAATATGTCTCGTAGTTTTTTTTTTACCTTTGAGGCAATGATCTGATAACCATGCAGCCTTGGCCTAGCCTTAGTATTGAACGAGTACTCTTTGGTATTGAACTCTTCAAATTGTACTTTTTTTTTTAAATGGCAGAGTCTTTTTCACTTTCTTTTTGATTAATGGCGTTGCCCTTGTGAATTTCACTCAATCCAGGGTTTCCCTAAGTTTACTTCATACATCGTTGATCGAAGGTGACAAGAAACTATAAATACTATTAATACTTTACATAAGTATCTCAGGGTAGTGATATTATGGGTATGTTCCGATATACACTGCGACCACTGAACAGTATGACGTCAATTTAGTTTACTGGAAGCCCGTTCCTTTATAGCTAGTTATACTGGTGACTTTTTAAAACGGAACGCAGTCCAGTATACTGTTAATCCTATTTTTGGCGCCATTTTCAAATTTGTTAATGCAAGGTGAATATAAATATAAAGATTCCCTCTTTTCAAAAGAAAATTGGCAAATTGTATAAAAAAAATATTTATCAATTAAATCAATCTTATAAATAAACGTAAGTATTTTTTTTTGTTTATTTAGAAACTTATCATTTTCTGATTCTGTTTCGACTGATCACGTGATCAAAAGCACTGTGAGCACCTTACCTCGAAATCTCCAGTGCTCACAGTACAAATATGGCGGCAATTTATGACGTCATAAATTTCCCTAGGGTACTGTAGCAGTGTACAGCATGTACTGGCAGTCCATAACGGAACGGATTTTTCAGCAGTAAGACCTCTGCGCAGTGCTCGCAGTGTATATCGGAACATACCCTTTATCTCTAGTTTTGTGATAAGCGTCATCATTGACGTTTACGTCAAACGCTAAGTCTGTGCGTCAAACGTTAGTCGTCAGTATTTTAAGTCAACACGTTTGTCTCATTTTCTGATAGCTTGTTGATTTTTTGTTCTTTGTAAAGTCTTTATATCCATAATTATCTAACACATGTGTTCTGTGTCTGACAAAGCATGAGCATATGTTGACAAATCGCACATTATTTTGTATACGAGTTGATTATTTATTCCAATGTTGTCGTAAGTTAACCAACATAATTATAAACTAACATTGAAAGCTGATGGAATGATCCAATGATGTGACTTTTATAATTATTTTTAGTCCGTGAATGCCATTTGAGAACAATGAGTGAATATACTTGGAGAGGAGTTCCTTTAAGTGAAATATATGGCTCTCAAAGTCCGTGGGGCGCACCTGAATTCCCACTAGTTATACCGTCGTATAATCATACAGTATTATACCATGTACCAAACACTGGACGGCCCGCGCAAGACTCGCCGCCGAAACCAAAGTCTGGAAATGATGTATGGAATCATGATTTTGTGAGAATGCCATGTTCAAACCAGAGTTTATATCCAGTTGAAGATGTATGTATTCTCCTCGAAAAACATTCAATTATATATGTTTGTATCCTCAGAACAAATAACCTTTTTATGTTTGTTCTGAGGTTGTGTCTGGATATTTTAGAGAAGTATAATTTATAATGATCGATTTTGCAGAGAAATGGTGAAACAAAACTTAAGAAACGATGGGAAATCATAGAACAGGCTTTATCCAAACCAATATGCAACAGTCAACAATTGGCAGATGCTATTTTATCATATAATACTAAATTCAAAAGCCTTTGGAAATTTAAGGCTTTACATAAACTGTTTAATGAAGTAAGTTAATTGGTAAAAGTAGATGTACAGAGTTTTCACATTGATGTAGAATATAATGCATAAGATTTTACCGTGGATTCTGGTACTAGATCTTTAGTGGTACAGTTAAGAATTATGAATTCCATATAGTTTTTTAATGCACTCCAAGTGAGATTCTACTGTCTTCATATAGCAGTACAGTAATTTTAAATCACTCATTAGTGAGCATCATCGTTCGAGTTATATCTAAACAGTTGATGATGCATGATTTGGAGTGCTGAACAATTTGTAAATAGTTTTTTATCTATCTATCTATATTTGGGTTTATGTAGAAAATGGACTTTTCTATATTGCTTCAGGGTTATATGTTGTGGTACCATAATTGTCTCAGAGACGCCATAATATGGATGCTTTAGGCATTCATCAATCTCAGCAATGTGTTGTTGTAATATTTATTATATTCACACTTAAAAAGTAGCTATAGGCTACTGTTAGCTTCTGTTTGAAAAATTAAAATACATTTATTCCCACAAACTTTGCATTTATAATATTAGCAGGATAAATAAAACTGCTTGTGTATAAGCGATTCTGCACTAAATATTCATAATTCACTTCATATTTAATATCTTAACACCATATCCCTTGCGAGATAAGCAGAGTGGACTGATCTTATTTATTACCATTAATGACATTAAATACATTTGCAGTGCTTGGAACAAGAAGAATCTGATTATTTTTTCAATGTTACCCTTCCTGAAATTGTAAAATTGGTATTAGCGCTACCAAAGCTGATTCAAGCACCAATACCACTGTTGAAGTAAGATTACATTTGACAATTAGTATCTTTAATAATTTTTGCTCTTGTTAACACTAATTTTGTTCTTTTGCAGGCAACACAAAAGCAAGTCTATTTCACTATCACAGCTACAGATTTCATGTTTGCTGGCTAATGCATTCTTTTGCACATTCCCAAGAAGAAATAATACAAAGAAGACCTCAGAATATGCCTCATATCCTTTTATAAACTTTAACAGGTATTGGCTGATAATTCTTTGTTTTTAATTGAATAGGATAGTTTTTATTTTTAAAATTAATAAAAACAAAAGTTCTAATTATCAATAACATGCAGTGTAACTTCATACATATGTTTATGTATGAAGTTACATATGTATATGTATGTAGTTTAACTTCATACAGTTGTTGTTAAATTTGAATTCAATGCTCTTCGGATACAAATAAAGGTGAAGCTACCATATAAGATTGGGTGTCTGTAATTGATTTCTCTTGATGAAGATAAGGCTACTTATCACATCAATCTTATCTTATCATAACTGAAGTGTTTATCAAGATTATGTGATAGACCTGAGGCTCTATTTATTTAATCGAAGCCCTGATTGATCTGTCAAAATGCAACTCTGAATGATCTGGTTGACTGACATATCTACTGTCAGCAGTGTGGGCTTTGGTTATGTGGTAAAGCCACTGAAGGTTCCTTATTATAATTAGTTTTGAGTGAATTGATAATTATGAGTCAATAGAGATTCATAAGAATACTTAACAATCCTCTTTATACAATTGTTTAATCCTAGCTCTCATTATTCTTTCAGATTATATAATTCTTCTGGATCAGATTCAACACTGGAGAAACTTAAATGTATTTGTCATTATTTTAGGAGAGTCACAATGAAAGGTGATAATACCATTTATTTAAAAATGTTTGCAGTGTATAAGACTCTTAATCAGAGATAAAAAAAGAATACTAACATAATAATCAATATAAATGTAATGGAGAATATAGCCCAGGCTATATAATATCGGTGTGGTTGCAGTACAGTCCCGGGTGGAGTTGTGACATTTTCCCGACGTGCTGTACCTCAGGATTCATTACCGCTTTGGAGAGCCTCAGAGATATCTATATCCTCGCTTCCAGTACACGTGGACAGTGCGACCACTATAGAAGATGCTCATGGATTGATACAAGTGGACTTTGCTAACAAGTAATATAGATATTTGTTTTTGTTTTCGTTTACATACTGAATCTATAACATATAATAAATTAATAAATAAATAAATTTATTTATTTTTAGTATATTAATTAGTATATCAATACTTATATATATATATATATATATATACGAGGGTCAAACTGAAAGTTCTTAGAAAATCAAAAACTGATTACATTAGCCAGTTATTAGTTTTATTATATCTTTTCAAAATATTGTCCATTCACGTCAATACACCGCTGCATGCGATGGAACCACTGGGAAAAGCACTTTGCCCACTCGTCCTTAGGGGTCTCTTCAATGGCATCGCGATACGCAGCCACCGCTACTTCAGCATTCATAAACCGCTTTCCTTTAAGTTTTTCTTTAATTTTTGGAAATAAATAAAAATCACAAGGCGCGAGGTCGGGGCTATACGGCGGGTGACCCAGTAATTCAAGGTTTGATGTCGCCAAATAGTCGATCGTTCGCTTGGCGGTGTGCGACGAGGCGTTGTCGTGGTGAAGGAGGATCCTACTGCGAGGTCGTTTCTCTCGAACTTTTTCCAAGACAAGTGGCAAACAATTGGTAGTGTACCATTCTGCAGAAACTGTTTTTTGATCCTCTAACACAATTGTTGCAAAATGACCTATCCTTCCAAAGAACGAGGCCACCATTTTTTTTCCCGCACTTCGATCTCTCTTCACTTTAGTTGGCAACTCCTCGAAAGGAAACACCCACTGAGCAGATTGTCTTTTGGTTTTAGGATCATAACAGTAAATCCAGCTTTCGTCACCTGTTAGTATGTCGAACACAGCATTTGAGTCACCTCCGTTAAATCTTTCAATCATTTTACGACACCAATCCACACGATGGAGTTTTTGAGCCTCAGTCAAATTATGAGGTATCCACCGGGCGCAAAGCTTCCTGACCGCTAAATGTTCGTGGAGGATTTTGTGCACTTGACTCATACCGATGCCTAAGCTTGTCCGAATCTGTTGATAGGTCACTATCATACGCCCAATCATACTTTTGTCAGTCTCTATCATACGCCGCACAACACAGATGTTATCTTCAGTCGTCGCCGTAGAAGGCCGTCCCTCACGTAAATCATCAGTGAGATTAGTGCGACCACGTTTAAACTCATTAAACCAGTTGTAAACAGTCGCACGAGATGGGGCTTCATCGTGAAAGGCCAATCGTAGTCTATCATAACTTTCTTGTTGACTTAAATGACATCGAAAGTCATAAAAAATCATTGCACGAAAATTTTCTCGTGTTAAATTCATGATGACGTGACACAGACAATTTTCAATTTGCCGCCAAATCGTAAAACAAATGACAAATGAATGAAATATATACTCAGTAATATTGGCAAAGAGTTATATTTTCAAATTTTAGAATTATTTTTTTATTATATTGTTTATAAGTGGCCAGTTCTAAGAACTTTCAGTTTGACCCTCGTATATATATATATGAATATTTTAGTATATTAATACTTTTACAATATAAAGATATTTTTAGAATTAAAGGTTTGTTGGGTTTATGTAAGAAATAATGTATATTTAATTTTTTCTCAAAATGAAATATATATTTTTTTCATTTATTTATCTTACTTTTAGACTAGATGATATAATTTGCGCTATTACACAGACTTGGTGCGTATCGTCTAGTGGAGTAATTTTTTTGGTCTTAAAGTTGATTCTAATAATACGCAGGTTATAATTATAGGCAGTTCTTCTTATATTTCTAGGATTAAGTTTTATAGATCTAACACCTATTGTTTAATATTTAATGGACTGTAGTTTTTTAATTATCAATTTCAAAATGAAAAAACGCGACACAATTTTTAATTCTGGTTTTTACAAGGTTACTTACCCAGTTGAAGATGATTCAGCAATCGACCACGTTGATGCCTCAGGCCTCCTAGGGATCGTTAGTTTGTCAAGACTTACCTCAGAAACCCAAGTAAACCTTACCACACCACGTCGTCGATAGTCCACCCAAAGTAAACTTGCAGCAAACCAGTTTTACTTCACAATTTAATAATAATTTAATGTTTATTAGTAATTTACTTGAATAATGTGTCTTTTCAACATTAATTCACGACAAAAGGCAATTAAATTAACGAAAACGAGATACGAAAACGAGAGTACGAAAATTCTAATCAACCTTTTTGAATTCGAACAATAAAAAAGTGAAAGGCAAAATAGGAATACCCTTCTTTTACGATTTTATATTAAAAAAAGTGTTGCCAGAGCAAACCTCCAAATTCACTACAATTCTTAACACCTATTGTATTTTATGCGTGCATTTTGCTGAAACGGTGAAATTTTTTTCTGGCGTTCACATTTTTCACAATGTCCTGGCCACAAGTAGCAGAGATTAGCCGGAAGATGTTAGCTGCCTCGAGATCACTTATATAGCTACGCAATTTTTCACCCATTTCTACCAAAATTACACTTGCGCATTCACTCCTGTTACCCCTTCTTGACTATGCAGATGCATGTTAGCCTCATCTTACACTTGATCTCCTCAATAATCTTGAACGTCTTCCAAACTTTTCGCTACGGTCCATTTTATCCTTATAATATTATATTATTTTTACCATCCAATGCAAAGTTGTCTGGAAGAAATCTCTGGCTAGCGATAAGGCTGCTTTTTGTACGTTCTCATGTTAATATTTATGTGGGTCTATGTAATTTTTCTTTTTTGTGCAATAAAGACTATTATATTATTTATTATTATTAGTTTCATAATGTGTTACAGATTTTTAGGTGGTGGAGTCCTCAATTTTGGCTGTGTGCAAGAAGAGATTAGGTTCGTTATATGCCCGGAACTAATGATCTCGATGCTGTTCACGGAGATGTTGAAACCAAATGAAGCCCTCATGATAATAGGTATAGCCATTTAAGTTTAACGACTAACAGCCATTTGCATAAACGTCCATTATTAATTTTCAGTTCAAAGTGACATTACCCGTACAAATTTGACATTTATTAGAGCTTAAAGGCGTCAACTGACCAATAGTGCATTAATATTATTATTATTAATGTCAGGCAGACAGTTGCAACAACTGATGTGGCCTGTATCCAGATAGAAAAGCAAATGGTGGACTTTATGCCTTAAGGCATTCTCTATCAGTCAACCGGCGAGTTTTGGACAGAGAATTAATAAGAGCGGTGCAACAAACAGTTACATACAAATCATATTACACATATAAATATCACATATACTTACATATATAAATATATTTATAAAATTTGTGAGATCTAAATAATTCCAGTTGATAATACTTTTTTCAGGTTGCGAGCGTTACAGCAACTATTCTGGTTACGGTAGCAGTTTCCATTGGACTAACGATTATTCTGACAGCACGCCTTTCGACTCGTCAGGCCGTCGCCGATGTGCGGTATTGGCAATCGATGCTTTACCATATGCTAGTGTACGACACGAACACAACAGGGACATGATCACTAGAGAGCTTAATAAGGTAAAAAGTTACAAGTTCAAAGCAAAGCCAGAAAATATTTATGAACACTTTAAGTTGGTAGATTCTGAATTGAATTTCTTTTAGTCTTTTTTGCTTTCGATCTGTTGATTAAGTATGTTCAACATGCAAATAAAATACAGAAGTAGTAAAATGTTTTGTTTATTATAGCGTGCACTAAAATTGTAAAGGAAAACAATAGTATGTCGTCAAAATAAACCAATAGACCTATCTATAGAGTATATTTTACTTGGCATGTGGATTTGACATTTCAGTACATATTTGATTCTTTGGGCATCCTTTATTCTTAGCAAGTATCATTGAAATATCGCAATTTCGAAAGGAGACATTTTATATTTCTCGATTATTATTACTTGGTAATAGGCAATGCTCAAGTCTAAATCTTGTTTTGACTTAAATATTTACAGGCTTGGGTTGGACTAACTTATGGTACAGATGCAAAGTCTGAAGGGCTTAACTACCCTGGGGTAGCAACTGGCAACTGGGGATGTGGAGCATTTGGCGGTACTCCGCATTTGAAATCTTTAATCCAAATAATGGCGTGCACTCAAGCTAAACGTCCTATGGCATACTACACGTTCAGCGATATTGAATTGAGAGATGACATTGCGAACATCTACAACTTGTTAGCAAGGCATAATATTACTGTAGGTGAGTAGTATCAGTATTAAAATAGTGTCAATATACTTAAAATAACCCCATAAATGTAACTCGATTACTTTTATTGCATTTAATGTTTTATTTCAGGGAAGTTGTACCGATACATTATTGAGTATACAGCAGATGCACGAATCGGTCAGTTACATGCGTTCTTACAACAAAAATTGTTAGATGAAAATAAACCTAAGTCTCCCGTAATAGAAGTGATGAGCTCTGTGAGTATTTTTTTTTATTTATTATGGTGATAAATAGCAAATGAAGCATTTACAGTTCCACCTTTTTAACTAGTTTGCTTAAGGTTGTGCTTTCCTAATTAAAATTGCTTCTTTAGTAAAAACAAAAAGATGGTGTTAAAGAGAATTTTCAAATTCTTCTTTGATTTCAGAGTGACATGGCGATGGAAATATCTTTAACTGAAACACCAACTCCTGTAAAGAAAGTATTAATGAACGATTCGCCGGATATGTTTTCACAAGATGAGTCTGATCAGGACGAAATTAATAAACAAATGGATGATCTCGTAGATGCTGCTGAAAGGGGGGAGTTGTTTACGGATACATGTAGTGGTAATGATAAAAAAATAGTCACAGAAGAGTTTGAAACAGAACACACTACAAGGTTATTTGATGAAATGAAAAAATTCGACGAGGAAAACGGTAAGTTGAACTTAACTACACCTAGCACATCACCCATGAAACATAATAGGGTGTTATGCAAAGGAAATGATACAACAGACGGTCCAGAGAAAATAAAATTAGATATGTCGCCGGAAGTGAAGAAGAAAATGAGTAGAAAAATAACAGATTACTTCAGCAAGAAGTCTATTTGATGATTTCTGGTGTGTTTTTGCGTTGTGAAGTTTTGTGCGCTCGTCGCACTTTTGATATTCTGAATGTATTTGAAATTGTGTTTGGTGAGGTATGTCTGACCAGTAAAAACATAGTTACCGGAGACTTTCAGTGAGTTAGGCGTCTTGTCGATATTCGTTTGCGTGTAGCAGACCTACTAATTCCGACGATGATTGGAATTTACAATGAGTCTTGTTTCTATAACTATAAAGTGTAAAATACGACGCTCAGGTGTCTGTCTCTATCAAACTCGGTGGAGCAGGCCAGGATAGCGTAACAATCAATTCCCAAACTTTGTTTATCCTTCTGCTTAGAAACATCGGTGAACCACATTACTTGTATATTACTGTACCAAGTTTACTCCAAATGGATTTTGATGTCAGTGTACTTCATTTGTATATCTTGTTGTCTTTTACTATTAATTGAGAGTTTTCAATTTGAAAGAGCATTCATAAATGTAATTGTTATACAAATCACGTAATATTTTTCAAGTCGAACACATTAAAGCATGTATATGATGTAAGTTTTTTTTATCTTTTTTTTACGTAAATTTTTTGATTGAATTCATAAAATTATCTAAAATAAATATTTTACTGATACTAAACGTCCACCACGTGAATTTTAGTTAACTTATTATTACTTTTTATTATTATTTAGACTACTATTTTATTTTATAAAATGAGTGGTAAGATTTTTTAATTATTTCTCTCGTAAAATTATTGGCACTATTAAGATGTTCAATGATATTATAAAATATACTGTATATACACGTAGTTTAATATTGTTATATTCTTAATTTAATTTAGAATGAAATATTGTGTAACAGGGGTCCATGATGTATTTTATGTTGTAATATATATATTTATTTAATGTATGACTGTGGAGCAATAAAACACTCACCTAATATAATTAAAATTATTTATTATCCTTCATCATATTTCTAGCATACTAAACGTAATAAGTGTATAATAATAAATAATTGAATAGTAATTTAGTTTTGAAATATTTCAGCAATATACATATTAATAACTCGATAATAGGTTTAAACGTTCATTAACTAAATTAGACATGCAAAGTAGGCGAATTATTATTGTATTAGTTCCATAATAATGTATCTCAACGAACGCAGTTCATCTTTGGCTAAGTACGTCAGATAATTCTAATTCTATAAATAAATTAATAATGTATAAATAAAATTAAAACGAACAATTTAACTAGCGACATTCCAAAAAAGTGATTATAACACTCTTATTTTACAATCTTTGCGAACTGTAACAATATACGAGAATAAACATTTCAATAGCTAGCTATCAAATGCCCTGAACTTTTATAATCTCTGTTCACATATAATTTAGAACGACCGCAGGCATGGTTCAATGTACAATGCGAAACTAAAGCTGTGCTGGCTCAATGTGTATCGCCTCCCGAATATATTGTAGTACGACCAAGCAAGGGTAAAATTACTGTTTATATACGAGTAATATTATATTGATAAACGCGTCAACGAGATATGGAGGGGGGCGGGAGGAGTGGGGAGGCGGTACACGTCGAACGGTACATGAACGACAGACTCGGTTTGATCCCCGTCGAGAGCTGACATGATCCCAGACCTAAACCGCATTCAAACGGCGAGAACATTTGAGGTAATTATTTGTTCCTGATTTGAAGTGCACTTTGTATAAGGCGCAATTTTGTGATCCTCCCAGTGTCTGAGAACATTTTAATAACATTAAATGAGACGAGACGAAAGCAAGTTTGTCTTTCATAAGCTACCCACACTTTAATAACCGATAATAATAACATGGAGCTCGAAGTGTTTTGTATTGTTCACGAGTTGGCCCGTTACGGCAAAGGTGAATTCACCATATTCTTAACATTTAAAAATTTGAAATTTAACGGCCCTAATATGCTAATGCAATCAATGTGAACCGCACCCATATTATTATACAATCATATACAGGGTTAGTTACAAAACATCAACAACTTCTTAGGACTAGATAGCTAACAAACATAATAAGAACGTTTAATATTTCATTACATTATCGTTTATATGAACAAAACATTTGTTGTTCAAAATATTAAGTTGTTTTAGTTCAAATGTCAATGTTTATTATGTTAGTTACTGAATATTGCGAGGTTGCTAATGTTTAATAAATAACCCTGTATAGTGAACGTACCATAAAGTGGCTAACCACCATTGTCCCGTTCATAATGATAAATGGCCACTTTTAATATTATCGTATCTTTGGTAAAACTGTACAATTATCGTTATAAATTAATTTATAAATCGTTCAGTCCATAACTGTGAGAACGAAAGATGTTTGAGTGTCATGACATTTTATAAATAGATACGTAGAATAGGTTGAAATGGACGATAATTATTACAAGCGTATATCACAGACGCCGTGCGGCGTCCCTTGCTAAGCTATTATATGCGACAGCTGTATCGCTTTGCCCCGGTTGGTATTACCCGCGCGACGTGTCGACCGGTCTTTTGAATACTGAACTTTATCAGAATTACTCTCTCAGACAGAGAATCTAAAATTCACTCTTATATACAGTAGCTAATTTCTATTTTAGTAAATGTTCAATTTCCTATCTACGGCACAGGGCGGTAAGGTCGACAGTCGAACGTGATAATTCGGAACGAAGCCGCTGTACTCTCGTTTACTCTTAAACTATTCCAATATAAGTTATCCAGAACAATGCGTGGTACAGTTCACGTGTGTATCGACTGGTTCTCCACTATGCAGGACTCTGTTTGATTGGGCGACTCGCGCTAGATTCCATATGAAGCATGTGTTAATCGAAATTCATCTGTCCGAAGATATATTTAAAAAACGATATAGGGTAAACGCTTAGAATGTCCTATTCGGATTAATAATCGACAACTTACAAATTAACGTTTAGATAATTTATACTACTTATTTATTTATATAGCAAAGTCGCCCATCGAAGTATGTAAACCTTATTAATTACAGAACTAAATCGGTTAATGATTATGATTTCCACTTAGAATTAACACAGCGACACCCTGTCACCCGCCCGAGAGCGCTCGGGTCAAAAGGCTAGTAAGCTCCTAAGATATGACATAATGTATATACAATTCAATTATTGTGGAACTAATATACACGTAGGACATCATCGGTGGACACTACAAGAACCTGCTTTATTATAAAGTTTTATAGACAAATGCGATATACAAAATCGTCAAATGACTGATTTAAAATTTTCATTAGGTTTATTTTATTGTTAGAAATCACTATTAATAAAACAGATAGTTCGTTTAGTGTCGTAAAGTAGCTTTTTGAATGCGTATCGGTTATATAACAGAATTATTGTGACTATACAATGAGTTGTATTTATGTACGGACGGCGCGGGTCGGTGCGGCCGCACTCGGCGACCGACCAACATTATCAAGTCAGGGACTATGACACTTACATCACTTCTATCTAAATCATTATAACTCTCCTTACTAACTGTAACATTAAACTCCTAACTTAACCAAACGGTTATACCATTCATAACTCGTGCTCTACCATTCTATATGAATAAATTATATCAATTATAATCTTAAATTTAACGTATCTATTTATGTTAGCTATAGATGAAATTAGAATATCATGTATAATTAGGGCGATACAGTATTCTGGATAACTTATCAAAACATATTTCTTTTAAAGTAACTTAAAATATTTTTATTAAGTATTTAATCAGAGTAGGTAGTTTTTACTTTTAAAATATATTTAGTTAATAATGAAAATAAACAAACTCAAATGTTTTATAATAGATAAATAAATGTTAGATTATATAACAAGTCCGCGCTAATAGAATCAAATAGTAAAAAGTGCTTGAAGCTAAACTATGCTAAGCGATAGAAAAAATAAATAACAGAAAAGAGATATGACTAGATCGTTTTGTTTCATTCCTAGGTCCTACAATTCATAAAAGCACTATGCGCCTCTCTCCATATTTTTTATTATATATAAATAGTTATCATAATATGATTAATTACTCCGAATTCTAATGTTTGTTTTTTTTTTTAATCTGATTAAAATATTGGCATTCACCTTACTAACTATCATCGAACGGCGTTGAGTAACGTGGTACCACTACCAGTTCAGTTTTTTTTTTAAAGATTTAAACGTCCTCAAGTGTTTGTTCATATTTGACGCGTACGCTATCGCTACTACCAATGTTCTTTTAATGTACGGGAACGATATAAATACTTTATAAAATTTTAAGAGTTAAATAGTTTTTTTTTTATGAAATTCGATTAGGTAACACTAATGCTGATTTCTGAACGGTTTTGGCGAGTGACGAATCGCAGATGCCGCAGGTACGAAGCATGCGGAACTACCGAATGAGGGTAAGTCAAAGTAAGTATTTTGGTTGTCTACCGTCCGTTTCGCAGCGCGGTAATCCGCTATAAGGTTGGGCAACGGCGGACCGGACGATGCCACTCGTTATATGGCGCGATGATAAGTGAATGAGGATACTTCAGTAGGTAAAACAAGATCAATACCGTTAAGACGGAAACACATTTATATGTCGTGTTGTTGTTGCTGTCGCATGTTGATCATACATTAGAATGAAAGGGATATATTTATTTTGTGACACAACAACAAATGTGTCTTTAACGATGCTAAATGTATGAAATGATAAGCTTCTGTCTCCCATTACAACACCACAGAAAATGTGTTTCTGTTTTTACCATTTTTTATTCTAAACAGTAGATTAATTATCTTGCCAGCTTTTCTTTAATGATCGGTAGTGTTGTCAAGTCTAAAAAAATAACGTTTTTAAAAAAGGGAACGTGAAATTTTGCGACAACAATAGAATCTCTGGGTGCTATTTTGGAATCATTCGTCTCATGTCAAGTTTATTTACTACGAATCACTTTTATTTAACCACATATGATAAACGTCAACGTGAATGGCTTCTTCTTTTTTAATTAATGGCTTATCTGCGCATTTCGCACAATTCTGCCAATGTCAAGTGAATAAATTAATTTTTACATGTAAAATGAAAATGAAATGAATGAAAGATGGCGATGATATTCAACATGAACGTCAAAACAGCTACCTTGCCCTTGTCAAATTCCTGTATCAAAGGAGTTATGAGAGATTGCTCAAAATCAATGAGGAAGTATTTAAAAAAAAAGAAAACATTAAAAAAGCAACTCCACTAGATGGCGACTCTAGCAGAAGTTGATTTTTGTAGGAAACGAACGGACCAAGGACAGTAATTTCTGTTCCTTTTAACTAACATATTGAAAAATTTAAATTTGAAAAGTTCGAAACTTAGATATCATTACAACTACGAAAAAGTACAAATAGAATATGAGTTGTTTATTGAGTTTTGAAAAGTAATCTAGTTTTAAACATGAAAGAAAACCGGAAAGGTTGTCATGAAGAAATCAAGAACGTACCGAAGCGACATCTAGTTTGATTTCGAGGACTAATAATTTTTTTTTAAATACTTCATCATTATTTATTTTATTTTATTTATCAGTTTTATTTTTTCGTGATACCCCAAAAGCTCCTTTATACATTTACTTCATACAATTTCGTTGCAGTAATCTTTGGAAAAACAACTCGAAAATACAGAAACAGAGACTATTTGAAACGACTGATTAAAATTAGTGCTCTGATTTGTCATAATACTGGTTAGAATAAAAAATGGTAGTACAGTTGGAATGAAGGCCATTGCCTTTTCTATGTGAAAAGAAGCGAAGCGTCAAGTGGGTATATGGGCAGGCGAGGATGAGGTCGGCTACACTAGACAGTACGAGAGAGTATAAAAAGTGGCGACAGACTATCAGTGGACCCGAGAGTAGGCGCCGGGCTGGCCGATGTACGATCGCAGTCTAAGTCAGAGAGTCGGCATATCTGCCTACATGAAAAACATTTAGATACATTTAAATAATTGCAAAGCATACCCTGTATCCTAGAATCACTTTTATGGGCGTTTGTTTTTATACATTCAGAGAGGACTCATTAATCTATTACAAACGTGCGCGTCTCCGCAATATATTTTTAGGGAATTTAATTTTAATCAGTATAAAGATATAAGTACACAATATTATTAAACCGTCCGATGCCGCCTCGCGGCAGCAAGGGCGCATTACTTCTACATTATCCACGAGGTGATATTATCGATAATCGATATACTAAGTATACGTGTTCCGGTTTGGCATCGATTTATCTGTAACCTAAAGTGCGCGGCGCTGCACTCCGCTCGCCCGAGCTCGGCCTCCGCTATCCAACCTGTACACAAGCGAGCCGCGCCCCGTTACATTTAAATTTATTTAGCTACGAATTAGGGACGACGATTTGTATGCGAACATACTGGTGCGACTGCGCCCGCTACCACGACCGCATATCACGCGAATACCGAAAATCTGGGACGTGTCACGTGACTTATAACAACATTTTGTTTAATTTGTTGTAAATTCACAAAGATTCAGGTTTACTCTAAAGATGTTAAGCTTCTTTGGTTAAGCAGTTATATAACAAATAAATAATAAATCTTAAAATTAATATTTTCGGCTGTGATATAAAATATAATATTTGGACCCCATATTATATTTTGTGTTTGCATGGCACAGTCGAGACGGGGCGGCGAGCGCGGTCGCACAGGTTCGGCCGTTAGGGGCAGCGTGACACTGCCCGCTAGCACGTGGCGGCCGGCTCCAGTCGGCTTATATAACGAGACCACGTCGACTATAAAATCTAACTCAACAAAACACACCAAATTAAGTACGAACACAAAACTACGCTAAAACAATTTAAACAAGCGTAACGACGTATTGCACAAACGTGATTCCGAAATGAGAAGTATAAAAACGCTTAAAACGACTACTTTTCAGTCGTCTTACACAGCTTAGAGATAAATCATAATAGCTTAAAACTAGAATACTATATGAATATAATATAATAATTTGTGTAAATATAAAATTCTATGTCTTGTGGTGAGTGTAATATTTGACTAGAGGCGGGCGACGCGGCCGCCGCCGTGCGCGCGGGCGGCCCTCGCCGCGCAGGGTTGCCGCACCGAACATACTCCACTATATCGTGTACTTATTTGCACAACTTATTTGTAGTTATTACGTTATCATGAAATAATATATTCACTCGAGCACACGCCTCTTTACTTGCAAAAAGCAATATACTGGTTAACCAGATTCAACACTCATTTATGAGAAACGTAAAGCAGATGACCGGAATATTCGTAAGGATCGATAACTAACTTTGGAAGAATAGTGGTCGATCTTGGTCATCTGGTTAGGGCAATGGCTTTATGGTTAGTAAGTTTATAAAACATCCCAAATGCGATAGTTTCATAGTCGTTCGATATTAGAATTGTATTTTATAAAATTAGCTTTGCTAAAATGGCAAGCTATGGTAAAAGACACAGTAGGCGTGGTATGAGGTGGCAGCCCTGGCAGCGGCCCGCGGCCCGCGCGCACGCAATATATCTAAGGTATCTCAGTATCATTTTATATTTATATTGGTACTTTTTTGATTATGAATCTATTTTTGTCTGTATAGAAATTACACTAGTTTTGTAATCTGTTGGTTCGCGTCTCACCCGCTGTCGACTCCCTGGCGCATTCACATTATTGTATTTAACACCTTAACACGAATAGTTCATATATGTATATGTTATAGACACACACACGAATGTACGAAATTAATAAGGGGAAGCGCGCTCCTTGAGAATTGACTTCGCATGTAGCGAGTGATGCATCGCTCGCACGCCCGCGGCTACTTTGTGCTATAGACTTATGAACAGCATACAAATGTCTAATATTTAATTTTTACATCAAGTCACTTTGAATAACCTATTATTGATATAACGTCTGTGTGAGTTGACCGAAAAATTGTGATATCTTCCAAACTTTATTGACTATGTATAAAAATAAATTATAATTTTTTTTTAGACCAAACTTCAGATGATATCACAAATGACGGTAGAAATAACAAATTTTGAGCCGAAACAGTGGCAAATTTTGTGCGTTATGTTTTTCAATAAAAAGATGAGGTCACACAGTTTTTGTCAACATTTGTGCATAACGCATGCGAGCGACTGAAAAAGAGCGTTTCACACACAAGCAATAGATAGACGAACGGCCTGTACAGTCCATAATGTTGATATTATACTTTTTTTTATATCACAGCCCATTTGGAATTTACAACACATAATAACACGATCTTTCGAAACGAAGGCCTAAGTACTCGGTCTCATGATGAAGTGCACTTTGATTTGTACACAGCGTTAAATACAACATTAATTTTTGTCAACAACATCGTCACTAACATGTTTGTGAGTTGCCGAGCGCCGACGCCGCCTGCGTCGATACATCGCACTCAACAAATACTCGACACATCGATCGGATAAATCGAAACGCGCTCGTTTGAGTGAGACGGAAGATCTAATAGATTCACTGCAAAGTATAAATAAGTAATTTTGCCTAAACATCTAAGCGAGTGAGAGAAGCGTCACTAAGGCGACCCACGAGTTCTCGTCTCATTCAAACAATGTATGGAGAGTGGTGTATCGGCCATGGGGCGCGAGCGCCGGCGGTTAGCTTATAACCAGACACACACATAATAAATGTAACAAAATATAGGACATATATACTCCATTAGTGATCTATACCGAACGATTACGTTTGGCGTGGGAGACAACAGCGGTGCGACTGCGACCGATGCAATATACAATCATTAAAATACATTTTTTTCTTACATTTTCAACTTACTTAATAAATTCAGTTTGGCTTAGTTAAGCAAATAACTAGTATAATAAATTTGTTAAAGTTTCAGTTAAACGTTAAGTACTTAGAAGTAGAAGTATGATTACGAATGACAAAATTTTTTATAACGTGTCATTTTTTTTATAATAATAATAATAATAATTTAATCAAAGTTAATAAATTGTATATAATAATATAATAGAGTAATTTAATGATTAATCGATAATGATAAGAATGAAGCATTCCTACGCGCTGATTTAATAAATTACTTTTTAACTAATTTAGTATACTCGCCGAGTGGGCTTGCATAATTCTTTAGGTAAGTATGTAGGTAATGATATTCACTATACAATAAACGTGTATTAAATTCCTTGGAATTGTTGATAATACGCGATCATGCGCACCGTGGGCGCGGGGAACACACCAGCCGCCACCTGGAATAAAAACATACATGTTACATATTGGTTTATACTTTGTTTGTTATATTTTTTGTTACGTAAAACAATTTATCGATATCGTTGGAGATATAACATATTCAAAAAAGGCCCCAGAAGAATATACAAATGATCTTTGCTAGAAGAAGATAGAAATTATTATAAGTAGTACACTAACCATGGTCACGTAATGAACGCGCAGGGACGGCGTCTAGGGTTAGTAAGGCCGATTAGCGTCCTTGGGCCGTTTCAGTTGGACCTTCAGCCGCTTCATGCCAATCTGGAATCCGTTCATTGCCTGGATAGCTGCTTGGGCCGACGTCGGGTTATCGAATGACACGAATCCTGGAAACGCAAAAACTCTATCTTAATGATACATTGGATACAAATTATTTTGGATATTTTGAAAGGATTGACTGCCTCAAAACATATGTAAGCTATTTTCTTATTTTAAATTTACAGAAATAGTATTAACATATGTGAAAGGGTACTGATACTAAACTGTTCGAATGTGTTGCATTATGAAAGCAAATACATAACTTTTTAACCCCAGAATACGAAAACAACATTAACTTACCAAAGCATTTGCTCTGATTGGTTGCGCGATCAATAAATACTTTGCTGCTGATGACATTTCCGAATGGCATAAACATTTGCATCAGTTCAGCGTCGCCGAACTCCTGCGGCAAGTGGTAGATGAACAGGTTGCAGCCCTCGGGGCCGGAGATCGAGCAGCCTGGGAACATCAGGAAATCTTTAAAGAACTCACAAATCTGCTCTCAGACACCATTGTTCGGATCTATGTTAAAGGATTTAGGAGTTTACTTAAGAGAAATATGCCTTTTTACGAAAAATTTCACTAACACAATTTATAACTTTATTTCTCGACTAACCAATACTTAGTTTTAAAAATACTACTGAAATTACACGCTTTTGGCTACTATCAGGCAAAAACCTCTTAAACTCACACCAAATTATATAAAACAGAAAACAGTGGCTGCTGAAATAGGTATATACAATTATCGAAGAGTAATACAGCGACAGACGCGAAGTAAGAAGCTAGGGAAAAGCTAAATTGTGTAAACAGAGATATTATTATAAACTTATGTTTGTCAATGTACAACAGTTGTGCAATATAAAATAACACCTGCTTATTAAATATAATAATAATAACATTAAATAGAAATGCACACATCAATAATGAAGCGCCTGTTTCCCAGCATTGTCACTCGAATCGTGCCAAGGTTCCATACCTTTAATGAAACACTTATTCGGAATATAGATAGCTGGAAAACAGGACATCATAAACAACAAAAACTATCAGTATGAGGAGACAACATGCTGACTACACAGGCGCAGAAATGGAAGCTCGCTTTATTATTAGTATTTTTTAAAAGCTGAGCGTCGGCGGGCTTATTATCTGTTGATTAATTAGATTAAAATCATTGAATGCGACTAGTTTTATTATAGAGCTGCTTTCATTAGTATTTTGTTATTGGTATATTAGTATGTTTAATATTATTATGGGTCGGTGAACGATAATAAGAGAGCCGGCCGTGCCGCATCAGGGCTCCAATTACCTTCTCTTTGCGCGGGCGCAATGGTCGACATCGGTGGGGGGATGGGCTGTGGGAACTGCCCGTAAACCGCTGGGTAAGCTGTCAAACATTAATACGCACATTTTCACAATGAACACCTATTCTTTGCGTACGTGACATGCATACGTTTAAACATATATTAGAAAGCTATTACATATCGAATATGCTATTAAATAACACTCGCTCCGTTTTATCTGTGAAATGAAACTCTCATATAAATCAATAAATAAACGATATTGCAATTACATACTTATAAATTTGAATATGGATAACACTATAAAATTATATGTAATCATTCGTATACACCAATAAATCTGTTACGGAAACATATTATAATAATGAATTAAAAATTACAATTCTCATTGAAAATAAAGAAAATACTCAACTATTACAAATAGACATCGAACACATAACTACTTTGTGAGTTAATCAATGTTTCAATAGCGTGAGTTACGATGCGCATGATACCCTATTGATACGACACATTCGTTTTCATTACCTTTTTACCCATCGATTGATAATTCCGATCAAGTTGACCTTGCTTCTTCAAACTTCAATATATCAATCGATCGGCAAAAAAGTTGACAATTGACAGTAATTTTTCGCACACCAATTTAATTTAATCATAGTAATATGACATCAATTTTACTATACCACTTTACAATACGAACGGCGTCCATATATTTGTCGGTAGGTTATTCGAAAAATTTTAAGATCTATCAGATAGGTACATTGATCAAAAGCAAACGATCGTCTTTCTTTACAAATATTAGGAGCGTTCGTTGTGGATGTATGAAGAGCTTACAAAAGAAAACACCTTTATTTAAATGTTTAGTATATTAAAAAATAGTACATTTATATTTTCAATTGATTTTATAACAAGTGTTGGACGTTGAAATTTGTTGTCACAAGACAGCATTAGGTAATCGATCGTTTATATTCTACGATCTTTGTTGTATATGATAATTATTATACTGCTTTATGAAACTGTATGATTTTCTTATCATATCTATAATAAAGTTTATTTTGTTCTTTACTATCTCCTATAGTTAATAATGGTTTAAAAAATAAAAATTCTTTGTGATAAAGATAGGTAATTAGATGACGATGTAATTGTAATGACATCTGACGTAAGCTAAAGGTGTTTTCCCGGTAAGTTGGCGGTGGTAGTGGTTGTGTGTATAATGGCTGATGCGGATATTCGTTAGTGAGGCGGGCGGCACTCACCGACGCCGGGGAAGGGCTGCATGCCGGGGTACGCCGCGTGTTGCAGCGCCGCCTCACCGTTTGGCAGCCCTTGCGCCGTCACTGGTACAGCTGGAAATAACAACGAAACACTTTAGAAAAATATATTAAATATCTTGGTCGGTAGTTTTCAGCACATATAAATATTCATCATCATCATGCTCGTCATAGTATAACCAGAATAGTACGTGCACTCGAGTCCGGAGCGAGCGATAGTAGCCTAAACTCGTAAGTAGGGCAGTCATTGACAGGTTAATCAGTCGTCAGAATTGCATAGTGAATTAATTTCTATACAATACAGTTTTCCTGTACGGTAAGTATGTGGGATCTATAATACAATGTTTTTAAATGTGTTTGAGCCACACCGTTTATTTCGTCCTAGGTTGTCGCATCCAACCTTTTTGTCTATGATCTTTAACATGATTCCTTTTTATTATTCACTTTTCGTAATTTGAAATTTTGAGTAACGCGATATGCTCTTTCTGAATGTTAGTTCGTGGAAATTCATCTAGTGAAAACATGGTATCAATTTGTGATACAAAAAAGTCTTAGAATTTATCAAAATACATTTATTATTGATGGTTCTGTTATTTTTACGTATCATAAATCAGTAAAGAAAATTGTAAACATATTACTCAAGTTCTATTTATTCTATAACCCGAGGAAGGGTTTTTTATTTATTCTATAAAATATATCGTATTATCAAGCTTAGTCAGCCTTTCATTTACCTAAGCACCGAACCCGTCACATATATAGACATTCAACAAAATTTCTAATTGAACACTAACTAAATTACACTGATTTTGTTGCACGACAACAGACCGTCAATCAACGTTTGCTAAAATGTAGGTCAAGATCAAAGTGCTATAAGAAGAATAAGTCTAAGAAAACAAAAATGCAGGGTTTAATAAGACTTTAATAATCTTAACAATTTTTAATAAAGGCCATTTCAGATAAGAGTACCAGGGACAAAGTACATTTTAAGCATTTTTCATTGAGGATATGGTCGTGTTAAAATATTTATCTTTTAATGTATAACGCCATCTATTGTTAGTTAAATATAATAATTTCCGTTCCGTCCCATCTTACAATATATCTTGTAACGATGGAACTGGTCACGTCTTCCTAAAAGAAGGTGTTATAATTTTATGCTTCGGAAATTTGATAAATGAATTTCAATCATATTCATAAACTTTTAGACTCGAGCAAATAGCACATGTTTATGAATTATGATTTACTTAATAGTGTTGTTTAGTTACATAATTCGGCATTTTTCTAAAGCGGTTTCATAGTAAATGTTTAGGTGATAGTATACGATTGTTGCGACTCGATTCGGCGTTAGTGGACGCTAGGCTTAACACTTACGTCCAGTGAACGTCTGGTGGATGCCGTTGGTGTAGACGGCGTCCTGCGGCGGCGGTTGTCCGTTGGCAGTCTGCGCCGCCATGTTGAAGCCCGGCATCGTCGGCGACGGCAGCGACGGCAGCGCGCCGTTCAACGGCTGTGCACCGCCCGTGCCTATCGCGAGACCAGTGAAATTGTCTGTGGATAATAACGGTTTACATGTTTTAAATTGGCAGAAATGTTGTGAATGGTTAAGGATTTGGGATATTGCAGTTAGGTCTCATTGCAGTTGCTTCTCATATCCATGTATTTTTACTAGAACAAACGAATATAATTTATAATGGTGATAAGCTCTATATTTAGTTTTAGAAGACGTTAAGTTAAATATTAAAAAAACATGTATATTTTTATTGATAGAATTTATAAGAAATAAATAACAAAATTCGAAGCCGAAAGTTCGGTCCAACACTACATGCCTAACTCGTAGACGCTACATATGAACTACGAACGTCTACACATTTAGAAAGTATGCTACGAAGCCCGTAACGCTTGTAACGTCTCGATATAGCATAAAGGTAACTACATCACAATAGACTTATTAGTTGATCTTTACTGTTGGTGAATATTATAACGTATTCATCATATCCGAGGACAACATTGTAAATCCGCAAAACAGTATAAACTGTTTGACAGTTGAATCAAAGAGTTTCGACTTTAAGTACAGACTATATTTCAAAGAATAAATATATAAACTCCTTATCTAACTAACATTGTAAATTTATGTGAATATTATGAAGTCTAGGTCGCCATTACTTTTCATGGGACATATCGTCAGGTCCTTAGGTACGTTTATACGCAGTATATGATGCACACGGCCTTCCCCAGAACTTAAGATTTATGACGAAAATAGAGGTTTTATTTTTATTTCAGATGGCAGTCGTAAAAAATCCACACTAGGTTTGCCAACTCGTAAATTTTCGTATGAAGGTGCGCCATGTTTATACTTATAGCTGTGCTATATGTCTATGTCCATTTGTGACAAATGAGGAGATTACCACACGAAGCAGATAAAGCATAGAACGAGTAACGAAGAGCGTTGCAAAATCTACAAGTCTATCTACCCAGCAAGGTAACAAGGGAGGCCGTGAAGACATAGATAGATAGACGAATAATAAATATATTTTAATAATATCTTCATGTTAATCGTGTGACAAAGGACGTTTTTTACACTCCTAATATTATACTTGTAGCACTTTTACTCATAAGTGCTATTTTATTATTAAAATCACATCACGGGACATAATTCACCTATTGCGGGGTGTTAAAGACTGCAAATGCAGCCGGTAACAACGCTTTTACGTGCCTTCTAAAGCACGACAACTCGAGATAAGAAATTTTCGGCCACCCATCCCATGACTGACCTTTACAAAAGTCGCTTAACTTCCGCATCGCATATCAAACACGCTAGCTACTGCGCCATCGAGATTTATTTATATTTATCTGTTTAGCTAATCAATGTCTCGCGAAGTTAAAAACATCGAGAATATAGATATACAACGTTGCCAATAAATTCAGTTTAACCTCTCGAAAACACAGAACGGGCCCCAATAAAAACGTTGATGCGCATAAAATTAAATTAGGGATTACAATAACAACTCTCGATTGTTTTGAAAGGACCGGCTGAGTGGAGTTTTATTTTTGTTGCGCGTAGGTAGCCCTACCAGATTGTGACTCAGATTTTGATAACCCTAGCGGATCGTGAACAGCGACATAACGTCAATATCGTATTACTTTTAAATAAAACAGATACAAAATTTACAGAAACAGGCAAGAAACTAATGTTCATTTGGAATAGGGTAGGGTAGCTTAAAAATATTCTCCGGTCGCAAGTGTCTTGAAGAAGTTGCAGAAGTTTTGGAGTATTCAATGCGATCTAGCAAACAATTAAATATTTATCTTTATAATATTCGTATAAATAAAATGCCGTGTGTATATAAGACAACATCATATACACTCTTTACCTCAGGCACCCAGATATAGAGAAGATCATTTTTATTTTTTTATTTAGTTCTGCACGTGTACACATATATCAAGGTCTTTTACAGTCTATTATTGTTAGTACATGTCCCAGTTAGGGTATTGCAAAAAACTCAATGCAAAATAAAAAACTTAAACAATAATAAATTAACATTAATAGCGAACCGCCTCTGAGTATTTGTCCATAAAATATTCTGTTATTGTGTATCATGCTTTTTTTGATTAAATATTGTTTTAATTTATTTTTAAACATGTTATTGTTTTGTTTCGATTCTAATATTTTTCGGTATTTTATTATATATTAATTTGTGTTTGGGTTCTAATTTTTACTGTTTCTCATTTAACGTTCAGCGCCACCTATTACACTATGCAAATATCATCCGAAATAACCAATTGCTATTCATTTGAGGCCACAGAAAGGCACACGAAGAAAATAAAAAGACTATGTACTACTTTAAAAAGAAAAATGAGTCTGAAAATACAACCTAATAAAATATGCCTTTTTACTTAATCTACTGTTCTCCTGTTTTTTTGATTGGTGAGCTCTCGTTTTCTAGTTTCTTGAAGTTGGCAATACTGGAACAAAGTTTTATTATTTCCAGATCGAGCGTGCTTTGGAACGCACGTTTGTTTTGGTTGCATTTGTAGTCGTCATATACTCATTTATTAACACCCGTCAATATACACTGAGCATTTTTTTTATGTGGTTTTATTATGGTACGTCTGTGCCTCAGTAGTGGGGACATCAATAGCTTGCTGTTGCTGATGATAGTATTTAGTTTATTTACCAGAAGTAGGAGGTACCACGGAGTTAGCCATGCCGTTGAGTGCGTGTGAAGCGAGGGCAGTCATGGGGCTGATGTAGCCTTGCGCTGTAGCCGCCACCATCAGTGCTGCTTGTTGCTGTAAACATAATAATTTAAGACTTTAGTCATGACCATTCATTTATGACGGAAATATGTACTTCTGAAGATAACTAGACGTTACACGAATGATAAAGAAACATGTCCAATTTTGACCTAAAAATTTACTAACGTTTCTTATTTTTTGCTTATTACATATAATTAAACCTTAAAATATAGTTAGGATGAAATTTGCTAGGCTGATAATTATTTTTACATAGTACTATGATAACTAACCCGAATGCTATGCGGACCCTAAAAAACGGATTGCTACACTACCCCAATGCGATTCGGACCCAATGACTGTTTGCTAAGTTTTGTTTTAATCTTCGGACAAAATATTCTTTCGCTATAAGGTAAAAAAGTGCACATTAACAATTATATTTAGATTTATTTCTATACTTACGTGTCAAACTATAAAAAACTTTCATTTTAATGCATTAATTTTTAAAGTAGCTTCACAATTATCTCGAGCTTTGATAGCTGTTATAACCTCAAAACATTATTTACAAATGAAAAATTGCTAAGATATTATCTATTTTAAGCAAAAGCTATCACTAATGGCGGGTAGAAGCGACCTTTAAAAAAAGATGTGGCAGGTGACAATCAATGTATAGAAAGGGGATATGATTCCTTGAGTTTCCTATCCAGTGCATACCACATCGAGATCTATAGCGTTGTTTTTAAGGATAGTTACGAGTAAAAGCTTAATAGACCTAAGAATCATCAGTAGAAACATTCACCCGGTTACTGATTTGAGTTTTTTCGTGATCAATTGATAGAAATTTGATAAAATATAGGACTTTTTGTCTCGTGAAAATTAAAACCCTTAAGTTATTGAGAATAATCAGCTGAGATTTTGTACTTTCCTAATTTCAGAAATCGGCCAATTGACTTTGTTTTTTGGCAGATAAACGATTAAGTTGGTAACACTGCGATCAGATCCATGAACACAAGTATATATAATTTGTTTGTAGTTTTTAAAGTAATTTCAAAAAAATAAAAAAGAAATGAAATATCGCCGTAACATCGTTAAGGCAACATTTTTATCATCATCAGTCCTTTTACGTCCCCACTGCAGGGGTTCAGGCTTTCTTTATGGATGGTTAAGGAGGATGGGCCATGACCCTCCACGCTGGCCTAATGCGAATTGGAGGGTATTAACGACTGCAAATGCAGCCTTGACCTACGGTTTAACGTGCCTTCAGAAGCACGGAATAGTAGTTCTTGCGAAGTTGCTTAACAACAAAGGTCGCGGGCGATGGCACTTATCCACTATGCCTTTATACAACATTTTTATACAAGGGAATAATTGTCATAAAAAAGTAAAGGGTTCCGTAGTTGTAACAAATAAATCAATTGACCTGCTCTGTGATGACTTGCGCGTAGGTGCCGTACGCGCCAAACTGGTTGAATACGAACGGGTTGAGCAGACTCATATTGCCGGCCATCTGCTGCATCCGCCGCAGCTGTCTCTCCTTCTCAGTGTCCGCAAACTTGACCACCAGGCTCGAGGACGCTCCCTGTAACAAACGAAATAAACACTATTATTATAAAGTAACATATATAATGGAAGATGCGTCGGGGCTAGGGTTGCCAGATAGTAACTTATCAAATCCGGGACAACTCTACAAAAAAAAATGTTGGCTCGTGGTTATAATAGAAAATATCTTAAATATATATTTTTTCGTATTTGTATTTAAAAGGAAAAATGCCATTTATTTTCAAATACATACTTTTATTAGATATAGGTATGTACTAAGTAGATAATTAACTCCAGTTATAATTCTGAGATGAAACACTGTGGTATAAAATCACACGTTAAACTAATTGAGCACTTCGTTTATTTTGTAAAAAAAATAATAAGTTTCCAGAATCCGGGACAATAAGCGCTAATTACTGGACACGGGACAAGAGGCGAGATTCCGGGACAATCCTGGATTTCCCGGCGGTCTGGCAAGCCTAGTCGGGGCTCGTCGATCGTGGAACGTCAGAACTAATTAATAATGATATGATATTCTTCTTGCAAACTTAGCAGAAATTCCGTTGCGTACTAAAGCATACTTAATGTTAGATGCTTAATGAGTCTTTTGGAAAATTTGCGCCGACATGTTGTTGAAATTTAAATCCATGTCGTTATTCTAACAGTAGTACTACTTCTGTTAAGGGTTCTCCAAATCATCATTTGTTTAAAAACTCGAAAGTGTTGCTCACGGACCGAAGCAACTATAATATTATTTTTAGGCATATAGGTTTACGAGCTGTGTTTGATCGAAATATATGGTCTATGAAAGTCATAAGCGACATCGAAACAGATTGCAAAAAAATAAATTTGGTATTGGATACTAATTATCCAGTTCCATATTCTAATCCGGAATATTGACGAAGAGACCTAAGCAATAATCTTATTTTCATTCCGAGAAGTCACAAAATAAAAAGCATAAAGCTCGAATATGAAGATTACCTTTCGGGGTAGGGAATGAGGGTAATGCATATATTATATTGATGAAAGTGCTGTAAAAATATTCTAAAAGCCATAGTATGATGAATACGTATGGTTCCCACTTAGACTTGTAAAGTCATTTATCACAGCGAAAATAATATCAGACAGCAACATAATGTATTATTTTGATCGTAAAATAAGATTAATGATCGCTTGTCTATCGTGGGAACCAGAAATGATAATGGCTTTATATAAAAACGTGCAAATACCTAGTCAGTTTGTACGGTGTACTGCATCAGTTTTAACATACAATTTCATTTTTGAATTGTGACATTTTAATAATGTCAATATTTCAAATGAAAGTCCATAACGTTTCCACGACGAGACAATACAGGTCACGTTTCCGTCTTACATAAAGTATTGGTGCGGCTCGCTCACAATAGGGGAGGCAATACAAAAGTCTGCACTATCAACGATTCCGCAAACTACAACAAAACGGCTGCAATGCCAGCTAAGCGGCGGACGCTCGCATTCATTATGTATTGCAGGGAGCGAGCAAAAATGGCGTGCGGCGCGTCAGTAGGCTCGAGTGAAGCAACAGGTTTCCGCCCTCAGTGCAACAAGTATTTGGGCTCCATCCAAAAATGCATCGGCCGAGACAGGCCTGCTAACTTGGCCCGCTCTTGCGGAAAACTGGCTTCCTTCCCGCAATAGTTTCGTTCCGAACGGCTTGCTAATTAACTCGGATACTGTGAAACCGTCTGTTAAGTTGTGGCTAATTGGCCGGCACCCCACACCCCACACCCCTCACCCCGCCATTGATGGCAGTTTATTCCGCGCGTGCTTCTGCATAACATTCGGGCGTCGAATCTATTTGCATTGACGCGTTTTATTCCGCCCAATGTTTGTTTGTCTTCAATATCGAATCAGTAGTGCTGTCAATATTTATATTAAATATAACCTCTTCTGTTTATACGGCTCTCTGTCTGCTATTTTTATGAACGATATTAAAATTGAGTTGTTTTCGATGTTTATTACCACCGTATTTAAATAGACGGTGGAATAAACAGTGTATAATATTGTTTTGTGAATTATATTGAATATTAAAAGCGCCATTTTAAGCGCCATATTTTAAGATATTGTTTTTTTAATGAAATGTGTTCGTATCTCGAAGTTTACCTACGTCTTACCAAGGTGAAATTGAGTATAGTTTTGTGATATTTAATTAATTGATTAAGTTTAGTA